CTCCCCCCGATTGCACAAATTTTTGGGCACCTGGCCTCTAGTAATATATAATTATATATATATTACATATATATGTATACATATATACATACATATAAATATATACATATATATATACACACACACATGCTAAAGGTCAGCTGGTCTAATCTATTATTCATGCTTGAGTCATTTAGATAATATCCCAACCAATGGTCATCCAGTCAGTGGCTCTCACCTCCACTAATGTATTTTGAATCACTTCACTTTTCAAGAGGACTGCAGGATTATTGCATGCTACCATGATGGCAACCCCTAAAGGTAGCATTTATGGAAATATGATCATATCTCCAAGGACAGTTTCCAAAGCAATAAGGCCTCCCATGGTGTGCTGGAGTCAGCTGTTACCAAATCACAAGAACCTATTGTGTATGAATTTCTGGGGACACAGTTCAATCCACAGCAGCAGGTTTGTTGAAGAGTCACTTGATAGAATTTGATGGATTGCTTGTATGTGTGAGAGAAAGGGAGGATTTAAAGATGTTACTAGGTTTTAGCTAGAATAACTAGAAAATTATAGTTGCTACTTATTGAAATGGTAAATATTTGGGGTAGGAATGGTTGTAGAGAAATATTGAAAGTTCAGTTTGAGATTAACATTGAGTCTGAGATGCCTATTAGACATGGATTTGCTGAATAGGCAGTGTAATATTGGCATTCAGGGTCCAGATTGGAGATAAATATTTGGGGCTGTCATCTAATAGGTAGTAATTGAAATCTATAAATTGAACCAGATCCCTAAGGGAATGACTGAGTCCTGAAATTCTTTCATACTCAGTATTGTGGCTGATGAAGAGTAATTAGCTAAGTTGAGAAATCGTGAGAAAGAGTGGCCAGAATAGAACAAAACAATGAGAGTGTAGTGTCCTGAAAGCTAAATGCTGCTGATGGACCAAGTTAGATGAAAACCAAGAAGTTTTCACTGGATTTATGAAATGAAGAATTGGCGATATAAGAGAGAAAAGAAAGTTTGCTGAAATAATGTTCTTGCATAGATACAAAGTGATGAGCCTAGAACACAAGTAGAGAGGGTGGCCTTCCATAGAAGTGGGAGTGGTTCCTCCACAGTAACCAGGATAGAAGGCAAAGTCTGTAGGTGAACATTTGGGTAGGTTAGTAGATGTGGCGGTGGTAGCTAGTGGAAATTCCCTCTGGCTCTTATTTCCTCAGCGAGATAGGAAGCAAGATCATTAGCAATGACTGACTAGAGAGGAGTATTAGAAGTTGTAGAAGTCTGAAGCTAGAAGAGAATATGTGAGTGAGACATTTAGGAGATGGGGGAGGGGATGAACTAGGGAAGTGCAGTGGGATTACTCAGCAGCATGAAGGGTCCATGTAAGCTCAGTAGTCCTGTGTTTAAAGTGAGATCATCCATGAGGACAGTGTATTATTTGCCACCCAGAAAATGTGTGGTGCAAGTGCAGAGTGGGTGAAAGGTGTAATTTAGTCAAGACTGGGTTTTTGTCACACAAGTTTGAAGAAGGAAAAGAGAGACCAGGAAGCTAAAAATGTAGACAGTGAACATTGTATCCTCAGGGCCCAGCCCAATGCCTGGCAAAATGCATGTTTGTTTGATAAATTAATGAAAACCAGCATCTTACTAAACAGCAACTAACTCACTGAGTGCCCATTATGTGCTCAGTAATGCTAATTACCTGACACACATACTAGTACATCCTTAAATAATAATGATTATTTATAGAGCATTTACTGTATGCAAGGCTATTTGCTCAGAATTTTGTAAGTATTATCTCTCTCTTTTTTTAATATATTTTATTGATTTTTTACAGAGGGGAAGGGAGAGAGATAGAGAGTTAGAAACATCGATGAGAGAGAAACATCGATCAGCTGCCTCTTGCACATCTCCTACTGGGGATGTGCCTGCAACCCAGGTACATGCCCTTGACCGGAATCGAACCTGGGACCTTTCAGTCCGCAAGCTGACGCTCTATCCACTGAGCCAAACTGGTTTTGGCAAGTATTATCTCTTAATCCCACTATCTCCCCACCTCCCTCAAAAAAGGGGTGGGTGGCAGAAGGAGGGAGAAATAAGAAGAGAAAAAAGAAAGGGGAAAAAAAACCTAAGAGGGTTTTACTCACTTTAAGGGAATTTAGACTTAAAGAGATATGTCCAATGTCACATAACGGGTAAGTGGATGCAAAGAATTTCCACCCAGTGTAACACCAGAGTTCATGAGCATAACCATAACAGTATAGCACTTTCCCACGGCAGTAATGGTGGGTTTTCAGTAAATGCTAGCCATTATTACTACTAATACTAGTCATTATCATCTGACTGTGGCTTAGAGATTATGTATTCATGCATTCCTATCACGAAAAACATTGTTTCTTGCTATGGCGTATGCACTGTGCTAGGCACTGGTGATTCAATTGTGATCTAGTTTTAACTTCTAAAACTAACTTATTTGTCTTTTCCTATAGGTATGTAACCTCCAGGATGGCAGGCTGCTCAGTGTCTATTAGGTTTCATTAATCTCTTTGGACTTGACCATACTATAAGTTGCTTCCTAAAAGGCAGCAGGTCCATAGTCTGGGATCTGTGAATAGGAATTAATTGCATCATTTGCAACAGTGTGATGCAATTCTGCCTTAACTAATTGTTAAAAAGATTAAATGAGAAAATCTATAGAAAAATGCTTTACAAATTGTAATCTGAAGTTACTTTAAGCCCTACAAAAAGTTTATATAATTATGTTGAGATATTAACTTTATCCCTAATGTAATGGGGAATTTGAAGGTAGAGGGTCATATCTTGGAAGGACACTGTATATCCTATCATCACCACTACATTTTTACTAAGGTCCCCACAGCCCATGTCATTGAAGAGGAAGTTTATGGCTAGTAACCTTAAAAATCAATTTAAGTAACTATTGCCCAATGCTAGGGTGTCCGCTATACCCTAGCTATTCTACATACCAGCATACTGTTGGACTTTCATTGGCAAAGGGAGGCTTTTCATTTTACAAATAGAGATCCAGTACTTACTTTTAATTTGCATAGAAGTGAGATCAATTCTTATTTTGCTGAAAACTGTGTGTCCAGCAGCCAGGTAGTCATTTGTACATTCACAGTCTAGCCTCCTACTTCCATTAAAAGGACATTCGTATGGATTTTGTAGTCTGTAACCACATTAGAATATTTTTATTATTAGATACAGCTATCATCCCACAATGTAGGTAAACTTTGGAAGTGGAAGGTAAAAGATACACTCTTCAATATGACAATGTCTACAAGTTAAATGAGAAAAGTAAAAATCACTCAAGGTTAACATATGAAATTATCAATGGGAAATTCAAGACCAGTGGAAAAATAACCCAGCTCTAGTTCTCTTAGCTTTTGTTACTGGAAGTAATATGATTTCTATGAAAATACACATAGCTCTTAAATTCTCCCCTTCTCTGTTCTCCCACTGCTCACCCACAGTATCCTTCTTAGCCTATCTCTCTGTGAGTACAGGTTAATACTCAAGTCTTTGGGCTTAAACAGGCATGGACAACACCTAACTTAGACCCTAATATGTCCACCTGCTTTTGAATTACTTGTCCCACTTGCAAGCTATTCAAGTATCACTCTAACTGCTGGAACTTCTGATAATCTTGAAGGACCATAAAAATAATCGTGAAGGACCATAAAAAATGCACTGATCAGCCAAAGACACATCTCATACCTAAAACCATACACTTCAGAAAAGTTGTCTTCTTCACCTTTGACCAATGATATATATTCCTTGGGGTCCTCCAAGTGCATATCTGCACAATAAACCTAAAGGGAAAATGCAAACACCTAGAAAAGCTTTTTCCAAAGTCAACAGTCAGTGTTAAAGTCGAGTAGGAACTGTATTCACAATACCTTTATTATTCTTCCCTCAATGTTAAGGTAATAGTCACCATCCTTGGTAATGTTGTTTTCCCCTTGGATTTCTTTGCAGCTGGTAAATGTTTTGCCTTCAAGGATGAGTGAATACAACTTATCAACAATGAACAAATTAAAAACACAGCATGAATTTAACTCAATCATGCAAATATTATGCAAAAAAAATAGGCACTTCATTTTGTGTAGCATATGATTACAGCAAATACTTATTTTCAGAATTTTAATTAAAACTCTTAGGAACACTAGGTAGATTTTTAAAGTCCATTACTTACAGTCATTGACATAACATTTCTTTTGAGCATCTGGCTTTAAACGCTTTAAACATAAGTCACTGAACCAACCGTTTTCAGCCATGCATTCCACTCTTCTCTCCATTACCCCCACTCCACAAGTCACTGAGCACTGTGAACAGAGTAAAATTTGAAGGTAAAGTGTATAAAGGGTAACAAGGCCAGTCAATCCATATCGCCTCTCAGACAAGGTCCTTTTGGAACACAATAGTGGCTAGACTTACTGCAAATACAAAAGTACCCTATAGATTAGACAGTCACAGATGGGAGGAATTTATTATTTCTCATTTATTGGCTTCTTTTCATTTATGTCATATAGTTATATCAACATTATATTATAAATACTTGACAAACATTATTAATGTTGGTTTTTAAGACTACTTAGTTTGTTTTCATTGTTATATATGCTGCTTGGAAAGCAATATTTACTTGCTTTCTATCCATTAAATTGGAAACGGATTATAGTGCAAGTAACTTTTATTACTCACATGTTAGATTTATTTACTTCACTTAAAATATTCATTGGTTAAGTATCTACTAAAAATGCAAGTCACTGTGCAAGGCTTTCTGAGGAATAGATATAAATAGGTTATAGTAAGCATAGAAAAAGAGATAAGATATTTATACAAGTAACTGACAAAGTAAGTGGTTTTTAGACAACAGGGGTATGAAACAATTCTGGGATCGAGTTAGACATGCAGCTGCACAGGCATCCACACCTAGAAAGTCTCATTCAGAAGATTTTAAATTCATAATTATATACTGACCTTGCTCCATTTTCCAACTTTCCAAGTGGCCATGTGCAAACAGCTCCTTAGATTGCATTTGTAAGTCTGTGGTGAAGGCAGCACAGGGCATTCTCGATAGTCTATAGGCCAAAGCTGATGGAGCTTATATCTATCAGTAGACCGAATCTCAATGCAATATGTAATCCTTTGTCGGTAACTAAATCCACAATTACCAGCACACTGAAAAATAATTTCCAGGGGGAGAAGATATCCTTAAACTTAACCAGGCCTAATATTCATCAGGTATGTGTGTGCGCGCGCACGTGCGCGCACGCATGCACATCTATCTGATAATAGGGTAATATGTAAATTGGTCGGGACAACGTCACAGTAATGACTGATCAGCAGGCTGCATGGGCAGCAGGTGGGCAGGGACTTGCAGCTTCGGGGACAGGGGCAGGGACTTGCAGTATTGGGGACGCGATGGTGGCAGCTGCTTGCCCAGGGCTGGCCTGGGGCTCTGGCAAGCCGCCAATGGCTGTTGCTGCTTCAAGGGCCCAAGGCTCAGGCAATGAGGGCTGGGTGAGGCTCAGGCAGCCTCATGGCCGGCAGTGGCAGCAGCAGAGGTGTGGTGGGGGTGTCACCTTCCCCTGATAGCAGGGTAGCCTCCTGCAAAGGAAGGCCAGAGGCAGGAGTAGCGAGGGGGTGATGGGGGCGGTGCCTTCCCCTGATCAGCCAGTTGCCTCCCACAGAGCGAGGCCAGACTGTGGCTTAGGCCTGCTCCTCGTCAGTAGGACATCCCCTGAGGGCTGCCGGACTGTGAGAAGGGGCAGGCCGGGCTGAGAGACCCCCCATCCAGGGCACAAATTTCATGCACTGGGCCTCTAGTAAATATTTAAATATACATACACACACTATGCAATGTTATACCCACAACAATCCTATTCATTAGCTTCATTTACAGATGAGTTAAAAAAGGTTCAGAGACATTACATAACTTTCCCAGAGTTGTACCAATAAATAGAAAGGATCCATATGCAGGCTAGATTGTCTAGTTATGATGCCTATTTTGGTTTTTTCCCATTACACTACTAAGACTATCTTAATTGAATGAAAAATTTTCTCCCAATAGGTGCAGCTTTGGAGAAATAAAACATATGTGAGAGTTCTCACCTGAAATAAAAGACATTAATTAGAAAATAGCAGAGTACTGACCAGTGTGTACATACATGTGAGGACACCACCTGAGGCCAAAGAATGAACCAATCAAAAGACATAGAAATTACTGTATCTGGTACTCACATGGGACCAAATATAGTCTGGTCCCTCCAGCCAGACTGGAAAATCTTACATACATGTATTCTATAATAAGTAGAACACTCAGAAGGGTCTTGGAACAGTAGAGGGAAATAAATTAACCCTAAACAATGCACTGGTCTGATGTGACAAAGCTTAAGAGTGAGATAAGAAAGGCTCAAACTGCATCCAGACAGAATAAATACATTCTAGAGTCAAGGTCAAAATATATGGACAGGAATAAAAATTACCCAGTAGCTAAAATAGTAAAATTTATAATGTCTGACATGCAATAAAAAGTTAACTGTCAGCCCTAGCTGGTTTTGCTCAGTGGATAGAGAGTCAGCCTGTGAACTTAAGGGTCCCGGGTTCAATTCTGGTCAAAGGCACATGCTTGGGTTGCCTGCTTGATCCCCAGTAGGGAGCGTGCAGGAGGCAGCTGATCCATAATTCTCTCTCATCACTGGTGTTTCTATCTCTCCCTCTCCCTTCTGCTCTAAAATCAATAAAATAATTTTAAAAAAAGTTAACCATCATGCAAAAAGCAAGAAAATGTAGCCCATAATAAAGAGAAAAATCCATCTATCAAAACAGACCCAGAGGGATGAGTAAAAATGCAAAGGAAGGATCTCTGAAAATTATTTTCTTCATAAAGCCATGAGAAAACTGGCTTTGTCAGAATTAACTTTTCCACAATTCTGGAAATTCACCAAATGCAGCAATCCAGGAAGCATTTATTCAATAAACAAGGTTAAATCTCAGAAGAGGGAGCTTTGTGATGTTTTAACTTGTCCTACCCCCATTCTTGCCTCCAGCTCCACAGTAGCCTTGAAAATCAATAGCCCCGCAAGCATGGTGGAACCAGCAACCCCGCAGCCACAGGGGCAGAACAGGGTTGGGCATCTTTAAAGACCCTGTTGCAGAGACTTCTTGTTACTTGAACTGTTTGGTGGGTTTTCTAGAAGACTCCACTTACAAGGCTGTCATTATTTAACTTAACTGGAGCTTACCCACTGCTTAAAGACTTTTCCCTCCAGGGGCACTTGTTGAACTGTGTAACTTTGAAGCTTCCAGAAGAGGTAGATCACAGTTAGAGCAAGCAATAGGCTCATTAAAAAAAAATCTTAAAGGGAGAGATGTTCATAGGGCTTTGAAAAGCTTCAATATATCTACAGACTCCAGAAGGCCATGGACACGCACAGGGTTGCTCACATGTCCAGGACTATACACATGCTCAGGAAGCATCTGGAAAGGGCCTGCACACTCACCTCTGGCCCAATGGCAAGGCTTCGTACAAGCAGGACTAAGAGTTGTTAGCTGCCTGGCTGAGTGTTAAAGGTACCCAAACATGCACACAGAAGCCCCAGGCAAAGGAGGTGATTGGTTCCAGGTAGCTAAGGGAATCACTGTCCAATCATTAATTGAAAACTTAAACAAATTAAGCAGAGACTTCAGTGACTGAATGTGACAGGAAATACAGACTTTCCAGTGAATTCTGGAAAGTTTCTAAACAAGCAAAAACAAATAGCAATAACAATAAACCCTGGGGAGGAGGAAGAATCTGAATACACCTATAATGAGTAAAGGGATTGAATTAATAATCCAAAAACTACACACAGGGAAAGCCCAGGACCAGCAGCTTCACTGGTGAAGTCCACCAAATGTTTAAAGAACTAGCATCAACTTTTCCAAAATTCTTGCAAAAGAAAGAAGAGTAAGGAGCACTTCTTAATTCATCCTATGGAGTCAGTATTTCCCTCATACCAAAACCAGGCAGTCATCACAAGAAAACAACAGACCAAAATCTTTTATGAATGCAAAAATCCTTACCAAAACACTAGCAAAAATTCCAGACATAGATTAAAAGTGTTACACATAATGACCAAGTGAGATTTATTACAGGAATGTAAGATCATTTCAATATATGAAAATGAATTAATGGAACACATCTATTCTACTAATAGAATAATAGACAAAAACCACACAAGAATCTCAAGAAATGAAGAAAAAGCATTTGACAAAATCCAACACATTTCATGATATAAAGCCCTAAGCAAAACAGGAATAGAAGAGTACTGGTAAAAGGAATCTATTTAAAAAAATCTATAGCTAACATATTTACTAGTAAGTATTAAAACTGAAAGCTTTCCTCTAACAAGCAGGAACAAGACCATGATATTTGTTTTCACCAATTCTATTCAACATTATTCTGGAGAATCTAGCCTGAAAATTAGACAAGAAAAAGTGAAAGGCAACCAGAGTTAAAGGAAGAAATTAAAATTCTCTGTATTTGCAGATGATATACGTTTATGTACAGAAAGCCCTCGATAATCCGCACACAAATAAGAATTAGGTCCAATAAATGTATTCAACATATAAGAATCAATTCTATTTCTACATTAGCAATAGACAAAGAATAAAACTGAGTAAAATTCCATTTATAGAAGCATAAAATATAAAATATTTAGGAATAAATTTAACAAAAGAAGTGGAAGTTCACGTATACACTTAAAACTGTAAAACATCCTTGAAAGAAATTAGTAAGACCTAAATACGTGGAAAGACATCTCATGTTCATGGATTGGAAGACTTCTTTAGATGGCAATATTCCTCATATTGATCAGGGTTCATTGCACTCTCTAACAAAATCCCAGCTGGCTTTTATACAGAATATGACAAGTTGATCCTAAAATTCATAAGGAAACGTAGGGAACACAGAATAATAAGATAATCTTGAAAGGGAAGAACAAAGTTGGTCCCCTCACACTTCCTGATTTCAAAACTGACTATAAAACTCTAATAACCAAGACTATGGTATGACATAAGGGTAGATACATAGATCAGGGAATAGAACTGAGCTCAGAAATAAACCAATACATTTATGACCTATATTTTTTGACAAGTATGCCAAGATAATTCAACAAGGAAAGGCCACTCTTTTCCACAAATCAAATTGAAACAATGGGGTAGCCACATGCAAAGGATTAAGTTGGACCCCACTTCATATCCTATACAAAACTTAATTTGAAATGTATCAAAGACCTAAATGTAAGAGCTAAAATTACAAAATTCTTAGAATAAAATATAGGCATGAATTGTGACCTTAGATAGTCAATATTTTTTTAGATATACTACCTAAAGTACAAGCAACCAAAACAACAGGTAAATTTGACTTCATCAAAATGAAGAAAGTTTGTGCACTATCAAGAGAGTGAAACACAACCCACACAGAATGAGAGAAAATATTTGGAAATCATATAACTGATAAAACTTGGACTCATAAGTCTATAAAGAATTACAATTCAACAATAAAAAGATGAATCACCCAATTTAAAAATGGGCAAAGGATTTGAATAGGTATTTCTCCAAAGAAGATATAGAAATAGCTACAAAGCACAATAAAATGCTCAACATTATTAGTCACTAGAGAAATGAAATTCAAATATGCAATGAGATTCCATTCATACCCACTAGGATGGGTATATTCAAAATGATGGACCATAACAAGTGTTGATGAGGATATGGAGAAATCGGAATCCTCATACATTTCTGTTGGGAATGCAAAATGGTGCAGCAATTGTGGAAAACAGCTTGGAATTTCCTCAAAAAATTAAACATAGAGTTATCATAATATTCAGGAATTCTTCTCCTGGCTATATGCCCAAGACAATTAAAAACATATGTCCATACAAAAACTTGTACACAAGTGTTAACAGCATTATTCATCATAATAAAAAAGTAAGCCAACCTAAATGTCCATCAGGTACTGAACGAATGAACAAAATGTATCATAGTTCTACAATAGAATATTATTCATTCATAAAAGGGAATGAATTACTGATATATGCTAAAACTTAAAAATACCATGCTAAGTGAAAAAAGACAGATACAAAAGGTCACATATTGTATGATTCTATTTATATGAAAGGTATAGAACAGGCAAATCCAGAGAGTGAAAAAAAAACTGGTTGTCTGGGGTTGGGGAAAGGAGAAATGTGGAGTGGTTTCTAATGGGTATGGAGTTTCTTTTATGGGTAACAAAATGTTCTAGCATTAGACCATGGTAATGGTTACACAAACTTGTGAGTATACTAAAATTCCCTAAGTTATAAATACACACACAAAGATGTTAGAATTAGCAGAGAAGGACATTAAACAATTATAAGTAACTCCAGTATGTTCAAAAAGTTAAGTAGACATGGAAGATATTTAAAAAAAGCTGAAATCAAATTTATAAAGATGAAGATTATACTATCTGAGATGAAAAATAGATTGATGGGGAATAATGGCAAATTAGACATCACAGAAGAAAAGGTTAATGGACATAGAGATATCCATACAGTGAGATATTATTCAATAACAAAATGAAATGAATTATTGATACGTACAACCTGACTGAACCTCCAAATACTTATGAGGCATTAAACAAAAACAGTACATGCTGTATGCTTCCATTTATATAAAAATCAAGAATGTAAATTAATATGTTAATGGCTAATTTCAATGAAAACAAGATTAGGTTACCTGTGGGATGGGGAAGGGAGAGGAGGAGAGGAGGGAGGAATTGCAAAGCAAAACAAGGAAATTTTGGGTAGTGATGAAGATGCTGTTTATTTTAAATATGGTAATGGCTCTATGGGTGTAGCTGTATCTATACATCAAAACTTATCAAGCTGAACACTTTAAATATATGCAGCTTATTCTTTGTCAGTTATACCATAATAAAGCTGTTTTGATGCATATAAGCATAGCTCATAGACACAGACAACAATGGGATGAAGGCTGGGATGGGGGTGAGGGCTGGGTCGAGGAGGAGATAGGGGAGAAGGGGACATCTATAATAGTGTCAACAATTTTTTTAAAAGCTGTTTTTAAAAAGCAGGCAAGCCCTGGCTGGTTTGGCTCAGTGGATAGAGCATCGGCCTGCGGACTCAAGGGTCCAGGGTTCGATTCCTGTCAAGGGCATGTACCTTGGTTGCGGGCACATCCCCGGTAGGGGGTGTGCAGGAGGCAGCTGATCGATGTTTCTAACTCTCTATCCCTCTCCCTTCCTCTCTGTAAAAAATCAATAAAATATATTTTTAAAAAAATAAAAATAAAATAAAATAAAAGGGGAAAGGAAAGGAAAGGGGAAAGGAAAGGAAAGGGGAAAGGAAAGGAAAGGGGAAAGGAAAGGAAAGGGGAAAGGAAAGGAAAGGGGAAAGGAAAGGAAAGGGGAAAGGAAAGGAAAGGGGAAAGGAAAGGAAAGGGGAAAGGAAAGGAAAGGGGAAAGGAAAGGAAAGGGGAAAGGAAAGGAAAGGGGAAAGGAAAGGAAAGGGGAAAGGAAAGGAAAGGGGAAAGGAAAGGAAAGGGGAAAGGAAAGGAAAGGGGAAAGGAAAGGAAAGGGGAAAGGAAAGGAAAGGGGAAAGGAAAGGAAAGGGGAAAGGAAAGGAAAGGGGAAAGGAAAGGAAAGGGGAAAGGAAAGGAAAGGGGAAAGGAAAGGAAAGGGGAAAGGAAAGGAAAGGGGAAAGGAAAGGAAAGGGGAAAGGAAAGGAAAGGGGAAAGGAAAGGAAAGGGGAAAGGAAAGGAAAGGGGAAAGGAAAGGAAAGGGGAAAGGAAAGGAAAGGGGAAAGGAAAGGAAAGGGGAAAGGAAAGGAAAGGGGAAAGGAAAGGAAAGGGGAAAGGAAAGGAAAGGGGAAAGGAAAGGAAAGGGGAAAGGAAAGGAAAGGGGAAAGGAAAGGAAAGGGGAAAGGAAAGGGGAAAGGAAAGGGGAAAGGAAAGGGGAAAGGAAAGGGGAAAGGAAAGGGGAAAGGAAAGGGGAAAGGAAAGGGGAAAGGAAAGGGGAAAGGAAAGGGGAAAGGAAAGGGGAAAGGAAAGGGGAAAGGAAAGGGGAAAGGAAAGGGGAAAGGAAAGGGGAAAGGAAAGGGGAAAGGAAAGGGGAAAGGAAAGGGGAAAGGAAAGGGGAAAGGAAAGGGGAAAGGAAAGGGGAAAGGAAAGGGGAAAGGAAAGGGGAAAGGAAAGGGGAAAGGAAAGGGGAAAGGAAAGGGGAAAGGAAAGGGGAAAGGAAAGGGGAAAGGAAAGGGGAAAGGAAAGGGGAAAGGAAAGGGGAAAGGAAAGGGGAAAGGAAAGGGGAAAGGAAAGGGGAAAGGAAAGGGGAAAGGAAAGGGGAAAGGAAAGGGGAAAGGAAAGGGGAAAGGAAAGGGGAAAGGAAAGGGGAAAGGAAAGGGGAAAGGAAAGGGGAAAGGAAAGGGGAAAGGAAAGGGGAAAGGAAAGGGGAAAGGAAAGGGGAAAGGAAAGGGGAAAGGAAAGGGGAAAGGAAAGGGGAAAGGAAAGGGGAAAGGAAAGGGGAAAGGAAAGGGGAAAGGAAGGGAAGGGAAGGGAAGGGAAGGAAAGGGAAGGAAAGGGAAGGAAAGGAAAGGAAAGGAAAGAAAGGCAATTCTACAGGGCAAGTTTGCCAAACTGTTCCTGGTAGCTGATTTCAAGTAGGCACTAATTGACACTGGAACTGCACTAAGTTTAATATCCATATTTCTCTTATTCTATTTGCATCATCCAACTGTAGGTGGCTTTATTCTTTAGATTAATACGGATACTGTTATCTGCCCCCATATTCCAATTTAGACTCAGTTTCAATTGCGTCGAATGTTAGACTCAGGTGTTTTTCCCAGGAACAAAATTCTTTGGCTTACCTGAGATGAGTCTCCTGTTACTACAATGTACTTGCAGGGAAGGTTCTTGCACTTTTTGATGGAAAGAGGTCTGGTTGAAGGGTCACAGAAACTTTCATTCACTTGAATGTTTTGTGCGTCAATGCACTGCACTTGCCGATGTGTCTCCTTCATTTTACATGATGTTAAACACTAGAAATACAATGACGAAATGAGTAACATGCCTGTATGCAGTGTCTTTAAAACCTGACTGGTCAATACTCACATCCGACCACTCTCCTGCCACCCACTGGGACTGTATGCAGTCCTGGCGCCAGCACTGCCTCTGCGAATGAGGCCGAGTGGACCAGTCACACATCTCTTCCGCCACCGGACCAACGCCTCTCAGTCTGCAGTACACATCCCTTTGCTCAACTCCAGGGCCACAGGTCACAGAGCACTACAAAGAAGCCCAAACGACTTGAACAACTCACTAACAAACATTAAACTATGTAAAAAAAAAAGCAAAATGGTGTCATGACATATTTTCTAGTTTCATTTAAACACAGCTTGATATTATATCATGTATTAGACAGAAAATACATGGAATAAGTATGTTCAAGACTGTCTGGTGTGAAACATCTATATAAATAGGCAAATACTAGATTTTATTTTGCAATATCTATTCAAGTCTTCCGGAAACTATGACATGTTCTACAAGACACTCCAGCCCAACTAATAACACCCTCTTCTGACTTAAATGTACTTAATATCTATAAAATCACACGAAACTAATCTACATTGTTTTTTCACATCACGTAATTCCTTATACTGCTGGCATCTACATAACCTCACTGGGCTGCCCCCAGGGGATAGGGACAGACCTGGTAATATCTCAGGGCTCTTTCAGCTCTAGATGCCAGTGTATATAACAACAGAGCTGGACCACAGCCACACTGGGATGCCAACATTAATAAAGTATGGAGAATATCCAGTGATATTTAATTTGTGAGTTTGGATTTTTTTATAGCTACTCCTTGTTATTCCAGAAGGGACTGAAAGTTACACTGAGTGATAATTGGGGGACTGAGTAATTATAAGGGTAAAAAAACAACAACAGGTTCTTCATTAAATTCTCTATATCTGTAGGGGTTCCAGAGTAAGTAAATTTTCCCACAACAGTAAATATATATCTTTTGTATATGGTTTTACCATGAATGAATGAACATTAAAATACCACAAAAGCTAAGGATTTAGCTCACCTGGTAGACTCAATTCCTCTCACAGACTGTGCAGCATTTTTATTGTAAAGGCTCTTTATAATTGTTTTCTATCTTGTGTGTATAAGCAGAAACAGACTTGAGAGATAATTTGTAATTTTTAACCTACGGAGAATATGATGCATGTCTACATACTTATATTGACTTTCATTTTATGCTTAGACAGGTGAATTGTGCCAACTCATTGAATCTTTTCACAAAGAACATACATCTCCTTTCTATGGAGGCAATAGTAACGTAATGTGTGCTTTGTGCAGGGCACCATATCAAGTAGACTAAAATATCTGTATGTAGGTTAGCTTATCTGAACCTCTTGTGAAAATGATTAGTCTACAAAAAAAGACTCCTACAAACATTTTCCAGAGATAATTTCAGAAATGGAAATTATATTTGGAAAACTTCCTGCCTCTAAACCTGAAAAAAACAAAAACCTGGAAAAAATAATTCACAAAACACAGCTTAGCAGTAAGTCCTATCAGACAATATAATTTTCTATAATTCAACAAACCACAATGATTTATTGCCCCTTCTATTACAGCATTCATTTAGAAAAACCCCCTGGAGACCATGAATAACTGCTATTGGTGGTCCACTTCCCTGAAAGGAAACAAAATGGACTACTGCTTGGAATAAACAAATAATATTTGTTTTTCAGGGTGTTTTTTTATGTTGTTGTTGTTGTTTGTTTTGGAGATAAGAGTATAAAAGAGTGAATTGATGCAATTTTATTTTTTTTATTTTTTTTTTAAATATATTTTATTGATTTTTTACAGAGAGGAAGGGAGAGAGATAGAGAGTTAGATCAGCTGCCTCCTGCACATCTCCCACTGGGGATGTGCCCGCAACCCAGGTACATGCCCTTGACCGGAATCGAACCTGGGACCTTTCAGTCCGCAGGCCAAGGCTCTATCCACTGAGCCAAACCGGTTTCGGCGAATTGATGCAATTTTAGATTTGAACAGATAACTTAAGGCTTACATGAAATACTGCTTAGCCTGATCTCATCAGTAACCCTAATTGCCAAACCCAATAAGAACTTTTCAAATCTTTTCTTACTCTCCCTGACACTTTCAGTGCCACTGACCACTTTCTGCAGAGCCATGAGCCATGATGGCTTCTGGGATTGAAATCCCTCTGGTCCAGAGCTCTCTCTCCCCTTCTGAGATTGCACCTTCTCGAAGTTCTTAACTGACTGTTTTCTCTGGTCAGCCCTGAAACATTAGCATATTTCAAGATTCTGTTCATAACTCGCCTCTATACACACTGAGCTCGCTGAGCAATTTCTTCTATGCACCAGTAATTTCTAAGGCTGTTCTCTTCCACCCTGATCATAATTCTGAGCTTTACATTTATATGTTCACTGGAGGCCCGATGTACGAAATTCGTGCAAGGGGCTCGGCAGTGTCTTGCCTCAGCCCTCGAAGCCGCAACTTCATCCAGAAGGTCGTCTGGAAGGACGTCCATAAGGTTGTTTGGCTATATGGTCTAATTAGCATATTTCCCTTTTGTTATTATAGCTATGTTTACAAAAACTTTTTATGTATTTACCAGAATTTTCATGTATTTTCTATATGGATATGTCAAAGGCACCTCAAATTCAACATTTCCAAAACACAACTTCCTGCCTTTGCCCAGCCCATTTCCCCTGCAGTCATGCTGGGAAGATATGATCACCCACTCTTAAGTCACTTACTAGAAGAACCTCTCAAGGTGCATCTCTAACCCCAAAATATGCACCCTTACTCAGTAGCTTTATAAAACTTCATATTTATAAGCATTTTAAATTTTATTCTTTTTTTAAATCTAAGCAACACATATGAAGCCAGTGTGAGGCTATCGTTACAAGTATAACAGAAATAATTGATGGGAATGCATTACCTCACCAACACTGTATAATTAAATTCGGACAGAAAAAATCAGCCAACTATCCTATTTATACACAAATATACTGTAACATTGCAAATTCTGGCACTTTAAATACTTGACAGTGGAGTGGAGAAGGTGAATTTTATCCCATCCACAGGTACAGAGCAGAGGTAAAGAGATGTTAGAACATGCCTTGCAAAAACAGGCTCATCGAGGCTGACTCACTCTGTTTAATAAAGTTACTTAAAAATGTAAATATTTGCTCTTGATACATTATCATTTCTTATTAATGTAATAAGATTTTGGTTTTATTATAGTTGGTTATTTGTAACTATGGCTTATTTTAAATGGATCAATAACATAGCAGTAGTAGAGCATTTTGAGTTAGAAAAGACTCTAGGAATATCTAATCCCAATTTCTCTTCAATTCTGAAATCCCTTTTATACTTATAGTGAATAAATGACCATCAAAACCACACATAATTCTATAGCCTCAGCCTGGGTATGTTCACGATATCATGAACGCTGTTAATCCATTTTTGGATAATTCTAATGTTAGCAAATACTCACTTATATGGAGCTGAAATAGTCTTTGAACTTGTACCCACTTCTGGAATCTTTCCTCCTCACCAACAGAACAAATACAGACTTTTAATATAAATAAGCATGCAATGAAGTCAGCACAGAAATTAAATTTCTGTTGAATTCGGTAACAGTCTGCAGTTGTTGACTTCAGGTGCCCTTGTGAGAGGGGCAATATGTTGCCAAGGAAATAAAGAATAATTTGCCCTAACTGGTTTGGCTCAGTGGATAGAGCGTCAGCCTTCGGACTCAAGGATCCCAGGTTTGATTCCGGACAAGGGCATGTACCTTGGTTGCAGGCACATCTCCAGTAGGGGGTGTGCAGGAGGCAGATGATTGATGTTTCTCTCTCATCGATGTTTCTAACTCTCTATCCCTCTCCCTTCCTCTCTGTAAAATAAATCAATAAAATATATATTTTTTAAAAAAGAATGACTTATGTATACTGATAATAATTTAATAATTATGACAGCAACTACAGTAAGGAAAGTTCAAATAGACCCATGTTTAAATGCCCCCGCCCCTTGCAATTCCTGGCTTGTGACCTGCACAATCTACTTAACCTCTTAAGCTGTATTTTTCTCATCTGCATAATGAATGCAATGATACCTAGGTTATGAGAAACACAGAAGTCTCTCACACAATGTAAGGAAATGATTGTCCCTTTCTGCTCCATTCTTAGTCCCATTTTTTCCTCTTTCTGATTTCTGCCTTGAACAGTTTCTTGAGCCATGCTTCAAGCCAAACAGTGTTAGTCATCTCAGGCCAGTCAAAGAAAGGCCATCTTAAGTTTCAATCAAGATGATAAGGAAAGTTACAGGCAGCGTAGAAATGCAAAAACAGAATTGTTGGCATTAGCTAGAAATGACGGAGCGGAGTGGTATGGTTCATTCACCCAGCCCCTGAGCAAACACACATCCTCCCCATCCTCCACTGCTGCCTGTCTTCACTGGTAAACACTAAACCCAGGTGTAGAGATGAAAGGTTCTAAGCTCTTGGTCAGGGGATATGGGGCCTTAAGTAATATTTATTATCTTTTTAGACTACAAGATACATAATATGTATACATCAGAAAATTTTGAAATGTAGGAATTTATATATGTTGGAAATATAGAAAATATGAAATTACAGAAATACAAAATCACTTACACATGCTAGCATTTAGCATATAGGTTATTTTTTGTGTTTTTTCTTTTCAAATGAGGGGCTTTGGGAAAGAAGGGCACCGGCCAGTAGATTTGTGAAATTTTGGTTCCAGTTCTGATCTTAAAATACTAGAAAGACAATGATGGGTCTCAGAAGGGGACCCAGGTAAGTGGTTGATGTCATGTGGCTATAGATTCAGTAGGGTATTTGTTAGGTCGTCAGTGAGATTTTTTCACGTATCTTTATAGATTTCCAGCAGGTTTACCATAATCAACGGGAGGTAAGAATTCTGGATTTTTTTCTTTTACATAAAAAAAAATTACATTGGATGGAAAAAAAACTCATAGACAAAAGTATGGTGATTACCAGAGGAAAATGGGGGTGAGGGGAGGTAGGAGGGGGATAATGGTGATGAAAAGAAACATAACTTGGGGTGGTGAACACAATACAAAATACACCATACTGTACACCAGAAACCTATATAATTTTATTAACCAATGTCACCCTAATCAATTCAATTAAAAAGATTACATTCGATGGCACTAAGTAGATGAGGCATGAGACAATGAAGAATCTAGCACCATTCTAGCCTTAAAACACTTGAATTTACAAGTGAAGCTGGTATTCCCAAATAGGTAAAATTAAGTGGGGGGAAATCTTTTTGGTTCCAGAAAGCGGGGGAGGGTAGTATGTTGTGTGTGTGTGTGTGTGTGTGTGTGTGTGTGTGTGTCTTTTAAAGAATTGTAGTATTTAATTTGCCTCTAAAGGTATACATCTGGACCCAGAGGACAAATGGCCCTGTGTAGCAATGTTTGTTCCTGTTTAGCAGCAGTCATTAAAGTGCATTACTAAATCCTTTCATTAAAAAAAATGATATCAAGCCCTGAATGAAGGTGTTACATCAAAACTCATTTGAGCACATGTCTGGTCACCATTTGCCAAATGAGTCTCTCCATTTGAGGTATAATGTAAAATAGTATTAAAATAAGATTATTTTATAGTGAGCGATTGTATTAGAGCTCTGTTACAATTTATGCAGTCCGAACCAAGTAGCAACCAGTGATTATCTCCTAACTACCTCTGAAATTACACTTCTGTTGGACATTATTATATGCAGTGCAATGACAGCCTGCAATTGTTAATGAACTTCGTGTGGGTGCTTTTTATAGCATAAATCAAAAGCCAGCGGCTTCACAAGTGGTCGTTTGTTTCTGGGAGAGATGTGGGGACTGTGTGGGCGTCTGAAGCTAATTTCTGTGGCGAGGAAAACCAACTCAAAGAGAAGAAAGCGGGGTCTGTACAAGACCATCCCTGTTCTATGGTCTCTGAATATTCCTAGCTGTATCTTAGAAACCCCTCAAATACGTTCCTTTAGGGAATCCTACAGAATGTCAGACTTGATGTAGGCCAAGGCCAATGTGGTAGAACTGACGATTGACTCACTGTTGTGGGGTTGGAGGTCAAGAGTCAGAAAAGGTCCCTCCTGAGTACCAACCCCAACAGATGCAGAATCTGGAAGATCCACAGGAATGCTGGTGGGGAAGAAGAAGCAAAAAGTCTCTCTCACTTCCACTCCCATCTCCCAGCAGCTCCTGCCTGATGTCCGAATTGGGAGGTATGTGCACCAAGCTGGGTTCAGTGCCTTTACTCTGCTCCACCCTCTGTGGGAGCTACGTTGCCATTATTCCGCCACATCACGGTCCAGATAAAGTAAGGCAAACCCCCACTTTAAGCAAAATCACAATATGAAAAATATAACTAATACATTATGAGGTGGCAAGTCCTTTTTGCAACTAAATTGTGGTAGTCAAAGCCAGAAGTATTAAACTAGATACTCAGCAAAGTGCTTAGTGAACAAGATATCCATTGGTGTCCAGGGTTCAGTGGCCTCCCTAGGGTAATGCGGAAGAAGTAAGCATGGGTTAGGTTTCAGATTCACCCTCTTAAGACAAGGGTTAGTCATAGACGATACCAAGTGACATGGTCACATCCGAGTTCTTCTACAGCTCACACTATATGCAAGTAAATAATGACCAAGATATATGCAAGGAGAACATTATACATTTGGGATCAGGTGAGGATGAACTAGATAGGGGTGGTCACAAGGAAGATACAAGAGTTGCCTGGATAGAATTGAGAGAACCCGTTGAGTGACTAACTGTGGGGTCAAGGGAAAAGGAGGCAGATGGTGTGGTATTTCTTTCTTAAACGACCTAGTAGGTAGTAGTGGCATTCACTAAATATAACAGGCTAGCAGAAGATCTTTTAAATCATGACATCTGCTAAACCATTAAGAATGGTGTTATTTCCTTTACTAAAGTTACATGTAGAAGCAAATGCTTGAGAATGTATGTATGCTCTGAGGGATTAAAAAACAGAGGTGCGTCTGCCCATACTTTTCAGTCAACCATTAACCTCACTTCTCAGTGATTGAGGCTGCCTCTCCTTCAAAGGAACCTGAGATGCTCGCTGCATTTGGGGGCTTTTTTATTCAGTGACAACACTTTGACACCGCGGCACTCAAAGCCCGGCGCCCTGCACCAAGTCTCTGAACCCACAGAGTATATGATGACTTAGAAGTCCAGGGGAACCCCTACTTTTCTAATAAACATAGTTCCAACATCAGACAGAGACAAGGAAGCTCCATCAGCAGAAAATTGGTTTCTTTTTCCTGTTGCAGGACTAGGCCCTTTAAGGAATGGGTAGGCACCCTAAGGTACCCCTGAGAGCAGCCAGAGGCTGAGTTGGAAGCCCAAACTCATTGGAATCAGGCCTCGGACAGTTGTTCTAGTTAAAGTTTCTGACTTCATTCATGGCCTTGACTATTACCTTTCCCAAGTTGGTCTTTACTTGACAACCATGCTGAAAGGTCTGCCTCCCCCAATTTAGATTGTTGAGCTTACTTCCCTGAGTTTGCCAGGGCAGGTATTGATCATCCTTATTTTATAAACTGAGTTCTCAGCCTGGATGCCACCTACATACCAGCTTCCTTTTTGCTGAGCTTTTCCCAAGTGTGTGTGCATTCTAGTCTTAGTTAGGGCTGGGCACCCAGTTCTGTCACTTAACTTTAAAAATCCAGTTAAAATTCCTTCTGGAACTTAACATTCCCTTTTCCAAGATTCAACATTAGCTCAAACCCAAGACTTTGGTGTGGAAACAAGGCAGTTACTAAATACCTCATTCTATGTATTTACTGTTAAGATACCTGGAACAATAGTACAATTCTCAGTAACCCTCCTAGTATTCAATAATAGAATTTCTTATAAAGTTTACTGCCATACAAAAATTAAATGACTCATTTGTTATTTAACTTGAGACTTAGCAAATGTGGTTAACACTGTACAGCATTAATTCAGAGATTAGTACAAAAATGTATAACAGAAAAAAAGCACATTTTGGTGAAGTAAAACTTTCAAGGTTATTGAAAGCTTATGGAATAAATTAAGATATTCTCTTTAAATGCAAAGATATTCTCTTTAAATTTATATAATTATAAAAATACATCACATACCTCCTTCCATCTTTTGGCTTTCCATGAAGGGCACCTGCCAGATCTACAAGCTTTGTGAGTTCGAGGTTTCCGGAGATGACTGCAGTATTTTTCTTCTAATTTCCCTTGAACTTGGTCAACACAAAGCACCTCGCGGTACTTTAAACCTTTACCACAAGAAGCTGAACACTAGAAGACAAATACGAATGCACTTGATTCATTTTATCTTAATTTAAATTTATCTGCAAGAAGTATGTAACATAAAGCAATCAAAACCTCATTGCTTTGATATTTCTAATTAGACAGAATTTAAAAGTTGCCAGTCCACCCTGGGTTAACGTTGATATCATAAATTACCCCTTTATTCTATTAAAAATATTGTCTACAATATACCAAGCACTTTTCTGGCATATAAATGCTTTTAGATCTTTTAAGATTTAAGACTATCTGAGGTTAACTCCTGATATCACACATAATCCAACAAAACTTGCTCTCAGTTTTGTATAGTCACCAGCTCTTCTACTTTTAACCCCATATGCTTTTTCACGCTGCAAAGTATGTTTGGGATGTTTAAAATAATGCAGTGATCTCTTGATGCAGAAAACTGGAATTGAGAAAGCTGAAAATGTGTTTTTAAAGTGCAATTCGGTACTGGCTTGGTTTTTGCATCAATTTGGAAGATGTATCTCTTTGCCATCAGCCTTCCAATATATTTAGTACAAAACAAAATGACTAAAATCTCTGTAAAGACATAACTAAACAATGATTTGAATTTGTTTCAGCCAGTTGCCATTTCATGAGTGAGGCCAGGGCAATGCAGTGGAGAGAGCTTGGGCTCGGCATTGAATACCAGCTTTGCCACTTACTAGTGGGGTAACTTTAGGCACATTTTATCACCTGTGCAAGCCTTGGTTTCTTCACTTATAAGATGGGGATAACACCACCAATATTACAGGTTTATTATGAAGATTAACATGAGATGTGAGATAGAGAATATGAAATGTCTAACTTAGACCTATCACCCGTGGTGCATCTTCAGGAAATATTAGCTTCCTCTTCTATTGTTTTCCTTCACATAGTCTCAGAGAGGACACTTACATGTGCGAGCATGCTATATGCACCAGGGAAACGTTAAGCAAAGAAGATGCAAATTCCAGACAAGTCCTCTCATAACTCTGAGACAGCTGCTCACATATGGTTTCATTTAGAAACATATCCCAAGTTCTGAGGACCTTAGATAATATATTATGCATTTCATGAATATTCTGAGTTCAAAGACTGTTAGACTAACACAGATTATTCGATGCCTAAACTATTGTAACTTAAAAATAGTTTGGGAATAATTTACCTTTTTATATTACCTGCAATACTAAATTTCATTTGTGCAGACAAGTAATTTAAATTGTTGTCTTGAGTATTGACTTATTGTTATCATATCTGAGATGTTCTCTTCTCTTCCCATTAACACATACAGCCTTTACATTCCACTAACACACTTAATTTGTGAACAATATCTACAGGTCTCCTAAACTGTATTAAGTGTACATTCTTTCCTGAGATTGACTGTCTTTTACAAGACCTATCTATATGCTCTACTCATTTTGGCCACTTACCTTGAGCATTTCCCTGCCTGTTTCTTTAGCTCACTGTTTATTTTTCAAAGAGTATAACATATTTTATACCCCAAACATCATATATCATCAAGTATTAACCATATACTATCAGGGAGTATACATGCATATTCACACAGAGAAGAGAGTTTTTCTCCTAAGGTGTGTTGTTATTTTTTCTAACTTTAAAATTGTAACCATTTGAACAAAAGAAAATTCATTACTCTCCATGTTAGCCCATCTTTAAAAAGTAGTAATTACTGTGAATATTAATTATGGCAACACAGTAGTACTTGTGAAAAATGAAGAAATATTATTTTATTCATTATAAATATCACTTTCTACAATATACCAAGAATTGCAGATTCGTTAAATACCATCTCTTGCTTTTGCCCTAAATTTACCCTCAAAGTACTCATAATCTAAATGACACATACACCTATTAAGTTAATAATGGCAGGGTATATCTTAAATATTAAACCCAATAAAGTTCAGAGAAAAAAACACAAGACACTAAAGACCATTAAAATTATACAATAAAAAATATAATAGATTTAAGAAATTCATGGAAACTGGTCATTTCTCTCTGGGTTATTTCATAAGTACTAAAGGAGAAAGTAATATTTAAACTCAGTCTTGAAGAAGTAGGTTTGTTGATGAACAAAGATGGATAATTTTATATATTTCGATATGCCTTATCTAGATACTGCTCCTGTGTGTCTGTTTTGGAAAATTCTGAGTTCTTTTAACAGTTCCAAGAATCACTCAGTAAGTGTGCAGTAAACTGCTTATAAGAATAACCAATTCACTTACAAAACTATGTAACATAAGAGGAGACATTAAAGATTTTTCTCTATAGGCAGCATCTGTGAATGGCCTGTAAACTTGGATACTGCAATACACTATCAAAATTAAGATTATTCTTAAATTATTACACAAAACGACATATTCTAACTTGAGGCCATCTTTAATTCTTTCTCTTCTTCGTCCCTCAAGAACTGACAAAGGCTCTTTATTGTCTTTAATAGTAAAACCCAAAACTTAGTATACTTCCTTGCTTTCTTCATCCACCAAATTTCAGTTAACACACCTTTCCAACCTTACTTTCTATCATGCAACCTTTGCTCTACTCAGGGATGATATAATCACTTCTCTTTAATGTGACATAGTCACTCAATAGCAGTACCTTATTCAGATACTTCCTTTTACCTTGACTAATCACTTCCCAGCTTTCTAAATCTTATCCTTAAAGCTCTGAGTCAACCCCATTTCTAGGGTAAATACATATCAGTCTTCCAGTTCTCTGAACTCCTCTGTCTGAGGCTCCCTCTGTTTTTATCACTTCATTTTCTATTTTTGCCACATGCTTCATCTACCCAGCCTTCTGTAGGTCAAGAAACTTTTAGATCACCCACAAAATGTCAAGTACAATAAATATCAGCTGATTAGCTGAGGCCAATCCTTGGTATAAACAATTCTTGTTTTTAGTAAACTATAAAATAACTTATTAAAACATTTTAAATTCCATGAAAAATATTTATTGGTTAATAAACTCAAGTTCCTCTAGAGGAGAGACAAAAAAAAATAGAAAATTAAAGTATTGCAACATAGATTATATCTTTGTTTTGCTTTTAAAGCAGAGCTCGCTTTCTTCAATATTTGAAGAAAAATAACTACGTTATCATATCTGATTAAATCCATGAAGGGATTTAAGTAAAAAAAGAACATGTTATATCAAGAATGATGTATTAGTTGGAATGAGGCAATATTAGTGTAAATAAATAGTGACATGCTACCCTCCCTCTCTCAAACCACAGTACATTTTGAGTTGTAAAGATTCCACAAAAATACCCCATTTAGTAGGAATACCCAACATACCAGTTCTTTTTTCTTGTACCCCAACAATCTTTTATTTTTTATACCTCAAAAACCATCCTAGTCCCTTAAAGTTTTATTAATACTGTATAATTCATTCAAAGTATTCTTATGCAAACATTTTTTTTCTTAAAAATCACTCTATCATTCTTAGTTGACATAATCTTAAATTCTCAGATTTTTTCATAACTACTATGGAATAGTTGATATGCTCTTCAGAAGTGGCAACATTAAATGCAAGCAACTTACATTAACCATTCCTATAAAATAGGTGAAGACAAATGTCTACTTATGGAAAACAGGACATTTGAAACAAATATAGAATTTGTAAGCCCTCAGATTGTAATAGATTCTGCAGTTATGCAGGTTGCCTGGCACTTTCAACACCAAGGTGAGAATTGAAATCAGTCAGTCCACTCTGAATATGATTAACTTTGAGACAACTCTATTCTTATTTTAAAGTTTAGTTGTATATTACAGAATAAGATTACTTTTGATATTTGAAATGTGGATTATTGCATCATTTGTTTACATATAAGAATACTACAACCTGACCGGTATGTCTCAGTGGTTGAGGGTCAACCCATGCACCAAGAGATCACGGGTTCAATTCCTGGTTCAATGCCCGGGTTGTGGGTTCAATCCCCAGTGGTAGTCATGCAGGAAGCAACCAATTTATGTTTTCTCTCATCGGTATTTCTCTCCCTCCCTTCCTCTCTAAAATCAATAAAACCATTTTTTAAGGGAAAGGAAATTTTAAAAAACACTACAGAAGAGTGAATGAATTGATTTAATTTGTGAGATGCTTGATTAACTCTGGAAACTTAAATTGCTAAACAAAATAAGGAAATGAAATTTATCTTCAGGTCTAGAAAATGGAAAACTGTGTGTGTGTGTGTGTGTGTGTGTGTGTGTAGATTATCATAAACTATTATGTTTATCTGATTTACCACCCTCTCTGACAATAGTGGGAAACACACTAAGAGAATTGGTATATACCTTAATAGGCAATAAAGTAGCCTGACCTTAGTTATACATAAAATGGCTTTTATAGACTTTACAAGATGGCTAACCATAGGTAATTTATTTAACCTCATTGAACCTCTATTTTTCATATGTAATTTTGGTAAAATAATATCTATTTCATATAAATATTTAGGTAAGGATAAAGAAAACAGCCAAACTCAGAAAACTCTAAAAACAAGAATACCTATTCTCACCACTTTTATTGAACATTGTATTGAAAGTCCTAGGCACAGCAATCAGATAAGCAAAGGAAATAAAAGACATCCAACTTGTAAAGTAATAAGTAAAAGTCCCTATTTGAGATAGAATGATACTATGTATAGAAAACCCTAAAGATTCCACTAAAAAACTATTTATAACTCTAGTAAAGTTGTAGGATATAAATTAATATTCATAAATCTGTTGTATTTTCATATACTAATAACAAATGATCAGAAAGAGAAATTAAGAAAATAATCCCATTTACAATTGCATCAAAAAGAATCATAGCCCAGCTGGTGTGGCTCAGTGGTTGAGCATTGACCTATGAACCAGGAGGTCATGGTTAGATTCCCTGTCAGGGCACATGGGCACATGCCCGGGGTTGTGGGCTCGATCCCCAGGAGGGGGCATGCAGGAGGCAGCAGATCAGTGACTCTCCATCATTGATGTTTCTATCTTTCTCTCCCTCTATGAAAT